AAGAGAAAATATTACCTTGATAGTAGATCAAATAATGCCATTTTTATATGGAAAGGAAATTCACTTCCTTTCAGATATACACATTAAAAATTGTGAGTTAAGAAAATATTCTTTATCCAGAGTAATCTAAATTCCTTTGCTCAAAGGACAATAACAGAAGCCTAGAGAGGTTATAATTCTGCATTTTGTTTGAATATAAGATTAGACATTATTATTAAAGGAACACATACTCCATAAGGATACTTTAATATAGATTTTAAAATTATTTTACAAACTTTAGTTAGATAGGAAAATTAATTTATATTTTCTTTCTAAGAAGAGAAAAAATAACATGCTGGTTAGTCTGTGCACAAACTTCTATTCTAACCTTTGAAGTACAAGGGAGTATGTGCAGAGATTACCTTTACTCATATATTTATTTTAGTCAAACTTCAGATACTTAGGGAATAAAAGGAAAACTGAACTGGTCTTTGTAAAAAATTCTCTTTTTAATGACATTGACAGGGAGTGGTGAATTGATTGAAAGTCTGGATTTTTTTTCTTTTCAGTTCTGGTCATTTTTCTCTACATCAAGCCTCTTGATTCTAAAAGAGATGTTACTGCCTTTCATAACTGAAAAGCAGAACTTATTTCATTTGTGAATCATATCCACTTTAAAACAGAATTTGTTATAGAATTATGCTTTTAGCAAACCATTTTTTGGGAGATGATCACCATTTTAGAATTTGAGTCCTCCAGAGATTGCCCATTCATAAAATCTACATATTATTTGACTTTTTGGCTTAGAAACTATTTTACTTAGGGCAATGTAAGACTAAAATCTCAAGTTTGTTGTTAAAATACATTTCACTGTGTCCTCAAACCAAAGGAGTGAAAATCATTTGTCATTTCAGTCAGATTTCATGAAAAGAAAATATCTGATATTAAGGAGAAATGAATTTCCCCATATACAGAAAAATACTATGTCATCCCAGCAAACAAATTTTTGCTGGAGACAATGCCATTCTATATAGAACTTTAGAAAAGATAATACGCTGTCTTTATGAGATTGTGACGAGTGTACAGAAAAGGAAATCCAAACTTGATTTGTTTGATAGATGATGTTTTCACTATAGGTGGAGAATCTTAATGGATTAAAGCACAATCTGGAAAAAATATTGCAGAGAGCAAATAAAATGTGAATTCAAAATTATTTGTAATATCAACATTATAGCTGTTGACCTAACAGGAATAGATGCATACATACAAATGGACAGGGAATTTCCAGCTTAAATGCTGCCCCGTGATAAAATGTTACAGAGGAAAAGGTTGGAACTGTTAGTTTTTAATCATGATTTGGTTATTTAAGCCTTTCGTATTTTCACAAAGACTAGGATAAGTGTTTCTGATGGTTATTCCCAGAGTATTCTGTACTTCTGCTGATAAATCATAAAATTTATTACACTTTATTATAATTTATAGTTGCCTGCTTTATCTGTCTGTAAAGCCAAGAATAGTGTTATTTGCCTACCACTGCTTTCCCAGCACCAGGCAAAGACTTATTTAATAGTTAATAACCCTGTTGGGCAGGCAAGGATTACCAGTTTTATTATAGACAAAAAGCTCAGAGAAGTTGAACAACTTAATACAGTGTAGTTATTAGGTAGAGAAGTCAGTATTTGAAACCAGGACTTCTAATATCAAGTCAAGTGCTCTCTCTAGTGTTGGTCTTTTAAAACTGTATTGCATTTCCAATGTAAGGAAAATGTATTTGCATATTTTTTTGCTGCACATGACAGATTGCATACCTAATCTGAAACATGGGAGGGGGATTTTTATGGGGTGTGGTTAACAGTAATATGTACTAAATTATAAACATTCCATCCAAGATGTAGTAACAATAATGATGTCAGACTCAACCTGTGTTCTGATTTTGTGCTAGATAACATTCCTGGGATGTCTCATAGCTTAAACTGAAAACATTCAAAACCAAAATGCATTAACAATTTCCCTTTGCTTTTTCACTCCTTAGTATAGTTAACAACATCATTTACCCAAAATTTAAATTAGAACCCTGACCTTCATTTTTATTTCTTCTCTGTCTTACATTTTTATGCTATAAAATTAATTTATCTAGAATATATTTATGTGCTAAAACCTATGGCTTTGAATTTTACTTAGTATGCAAAAGGAAAAAAATCATTATTTAAAATAAAGAAGAACTGATCTGAAGTTGGATTTTGAAGTCATAGAATTAGGTTATTCATGTACTAAAGAAGTTTTACAGAGAGTTTTTGATTAGTGAATACTATCATTAAAGTGGTCGTTATTGCTGAACGTAATTCTCAAAACCTCCACCTGGCAAAAAAGCTGTTATTTTGTTTTCCTCATTTGTCATGTCCTTGGTGAAATGCTACTCCTTAGAGCTGCCTTCTCTGATCATCCAATCTGAGATTTCCCTCCTTGTACTTTCTACTACACTTTTTCACTTCTTCTTAGCATGAATTTCAATGCATCATTAAGTTATTATAAAAGTATATTTATTATAATTTGAAAGGTTATTTTTACATTATTTTAAAGGTTTTATTTTTTATTTATTATTTTTAAAGGTTATCTTAAATAAATTTATTTTAAAAATACCTATTTGTTTCAGCATACCTTTGACTAAACTATAAACTCTATGGGGGAAGAGATTACATCTATCACTGATATAAAAGTACATGTTAAAGCATCTGCTGTTGGTGCTGCTGCTAAGTCGCTTCAGTCGTGTCCAACTCTGTGTGACCCCATAAATGGCAGCCCACCAGGCTCCCCTATCCCTGGGATTCTCCAGGCAGGAACACTGGAGTGGGTTGCCATTTCCTTCTCCAATGCATGAAAGTGAAAAGAGAAAGTGATGTCACTCAGTCATGTCCAACTCTTAGCAACCCCATGGACTGCAGCCTACCAGGCTCCTCCGCCCATGGGATTTTCCAGGCAAGAGTACTGGAGTGGGTTGCCTTGCCTTCTCTGTTAAAGCATCTAGTATACATTAATTAAGCAGTCTTATAATTTGAGACTTTCAATAGGAAGAGTAATTTGATTGTCTTCACTTTTTTCTAAAAAGTATTCAAATTAGTTTTTCTATTATATTACTACTCTGATTCAACCTTAAAAGTTCAATTTTAAAATTAAATAATACCAAAGCAATAATTTTATCTTTGAGGTTACATTTTGGTGTTGGTACAATTATTTACAAGAAACAGAATCATATTCCTAGGCAAAAATACATAAGAAAAATTTCTGAGAAAAAAAAAGATTTTGAAATAACTGTTTTATTTGAATTCATTGTCAGTTTGAACAGCGACGTGTTATCTATGGAAAAAATATCAAGACAAGCCACTTGTTATCCTAAAGTTTTGAAATAAGCAAAATAATAAATGTGGATTTTGGAGCAATTGTTAAAACAACTGTATTTAATATTCTCCTAGTAATTAAAACAAACTCTGAAGTTTTAAAAAGGTCCAAGAACTTAGATAAAACTTAGCTTTCAATATTTATGTACACAGTACAACACTAAGAAAAATATACTGTCTTAGATAATTCCACATTCCAATCATTAAGGTCTTAATGTTTGATGAATAAGTAATCTTCTATAGTGGACTTAACGTTTAGCTTTAATTGTTTCTCAGACTTCATAAATGAGTAAACTTATACAGCCGGAATTTAGTGAAGTCAAACAATAAATCATTCTGTTTTAAAAATTTGTAAGATATGGATGAGATTCTTCTACCCAATTTATGTCTTGGTAACTCCATGTTTTCCTTCAGTTGACGATGCAGCTGGCTGGCATTCAATGTATAAAGACATAACAAACATTTTATATCTAGAATGTTTTTATAGTTTTTCTTCATGAAGATTTAAGACCTCATTTTTTTAAACTATACAATTAATTATCAGTGACTTTTGACACAAGTCTAAAAATTATATTCAACAGTTAACACTCTGAAGGCTGCTAAAAAGGATGCAGCATGGAATGTAAAAGCAACTGCACTGCGCATTTCAAGGACTGACTGAGATCACTCCCAGTAAGTTCAGTAGCATTCATAAAGCTAACAGAAAAGTTGGAATTGAGGAAGGTAGCTACATCAACCCTTAAATCTGATGCCAGTGAAAAAGTCATAGTTTGAAAAATTACCTACAGATTTCTGAAGTAAATTTACTGCATTGCCTGATAGCTAGAATCATATCCTACTAAATAAGAAGGAATGTTACTGTTTGCTTTTGATGCCAATAGTGGATCCATCCTACGGAAACTTGAAACTACAAATGACTAACTTTACAGGGAAGAGATATTCTAAGAAAAAGTATCATAGTCATAATTAGGTTTGCTACTCAGTTTACCACACACATGAAAATGTCAGGCAGCAAATAAATATCTAATCCTCTCCCTGGCTCACTGTTTCAGTACTTGGGAAAAATTATAAAAAATAAATACTAAGATACTTCCTCCCTCCCCCAAAGGTTGGCATTAAAACTTTCTATCAGTTTAGATTTGTTTCCAAATATTAGGCAGCAACATTCCAAGTTGAATATGTTTGAAAAAATTTGGAATGATACTAGAGCAAGGAGTTACCCCTGCCTGGACAAGTTAAAAAAAAAAATCCTTTTGGTGATGTCATTTTGTTTTGTTAATCTTGCTGATTATTGGCCAGAAACACATTCATCCTCTGCATAAATAAATAACTTCCTATCTATACAAATAAGTATGCTAAAAAATAATTAGTCTACAACAAAGAAACAGGAGTTACAGAAAGTGATACCTATAGCTGTGAGGTAGTAGGCATTCTGAATGAAATTTCTATTGTTGGCCTAATACAACAATTTGTGAAACATCAGGTGATAACTATGTTATAGCCTATTAATTTTTCATTGTAATATCTTACATGCAATCCAACCTTGACAAGCAGAGGGAAATACTGGTTAGTTTTCCCAGATGTACATAGCAGAGCAGGTGTAAGTTGCCAAGGAACTCTACTTACTTTTGGTGTCGGGCAGGAAGCTGTAGAAAGGCGAGATGTAGCCTGAGCACGAGGAGATTCCGAAGGAGTAGTACTGAGGGAGGCTGTGTCTCGTGGGAGCACCTGAACGCCACGAGAAATGATGGAGTCTGGAATCTGAACAAGAGGAGCAAGCATGGTTTAATATGCTGAAAATACCAATAACATGCAAAATCAATATCCACACCCAACAGTTTTGTTTTTTGTTTTTTTGTTTTGCAGGGGAGTGGGGTGGGGCGCATACAGTCAATATATAGTCAAAGGTTTGTTTTTCTAGCAGTCATGTATGGATGTGAGAGTTGAACCATAAAGAAGGCTGACTGCTGAAGAATTGAGGCTTTCCAATTGTGGTGGTGGGGAAGACTCCTGAGAGTCCCTTGGGCTTCAAGGAGATCAAACCAGTCAATCCTAAAGGAAATAAACCCCAAATATTCATTTGAAGGACTGATGCTGAAGATGATGTTTCAATACTTTGGCCATCTAATGTAAAGAGGTGACTCACTGGAAGAGACCCTGATGCTGGGAAAGATTGAAGGCCAGAGAAAGGGGTGGCAGAGGATGAGATGGTTGAATGGCATCACTGACTCAATGGACATGAATCTGAGCAAACTCCGGGAGATGGTGAAGGACAGGGAAGCCTGGCATGCTGCAGCCCATGGAGATGCAAAGAGTCAGACACTAAATGACTGAACATCCTTTCCTGCTCAGCTCTCAGATATTTGGTCTCACTTATTGTTAAGTATGAATGCATCCAAAAATTTGGGATAAGGTAGAAACCTTCAGATTCAATATATTTTCTTGGCCAAATAATATTTTATCAAAGCTTTTTTATGAGGCAGTACAGAATTGTAGAGAGGAGTAAAGTGTTTGGCATTCATATACTGGCTCTGCCATTTAACAGCTATTTAATTCCTAGGTATTTTCCATTTCCCTTTCAGATTCATTCTCCACCTTTCTTTACTCTCTCTGCACCAAACTAAACTGTATAGATAGAATCAATAAGCTATTTTGTGCTCTCTGATTTCTAGCTGGGTCAGGTAACAGGTACTATCAGGAAACAGAAGAGTTGGGGGAGAATAAAGTCTGATATTTATTCTCTTGGCTTCCTCTCTAGCAGGTCACTGTAGGCTGGTCAAGATCAGAGGCCCTGTTAGATGACCTGTGCTTACAGCTCTTTTCTGGATTCCAATTACCTGCTCTCTTTTTTGCCCCATTAGGTCTAGGAGTATTAATGATACCCATTATTACTAGTTCCAGGGTGCTGAATCATATTTTGTTGCTTTCTCCAAAATCTTCCCATGCTTTTATAAATATCATAGTCCTTTATTAAACTTTTCACAATTATCCATTTAGGTACGCTGTGACTTCTACTGGGATACTGATAGATATAATTTTTAAACTGTCATTTCCTTTATCTAAAAAATGTGGATAAATGATAGCATTTACCTCACCAGATTACTGCTGAGGGCTAAATAAGATAATGCATATAAATTACCTAGCACTTACAAGTAGTTAATACTTAATAGATATTAGCTATTGTTATTATTATGTTATACACTAACAACTGATATAAGTGAACATCACTTCTGTAAAAACATACAAATGTAGCACAAATACTGTGGATTGTTTGTCTTTAAAATTATTAATATTTATGTTGATTATAAAATTTGTTATTTAGGGCTATGTATAATTTAGTTCATATTCTGGGCTAGTACTAGTGAGTATAGGTCTTTAATCTCAAAATGACAAGTTGACCACTTCCAAGTTTTATGCACAAGAGGTGAAATATGTATGATGAAAGAATAAGCAATTAACATTCAATCAAAATATTACTATGTACAAAGAAAAAACCAGAAGCCAGACTTTGTGACTAGAAAGGTGCTCTTTATCTTTACACATCATGTCTTTCTCACAAAGGAAATACTACTTTCACAGGTGCTCTTTTATTTAGTTTCCATACCTACATCTTCAATACCAAAGGTACTGCCGCAATTTCTGGGCTTAATTCTTGTGATTTATGAACAATATCTGAGTGGGAATTCTGAGAAGAAAAATGGCTACATTTGCTAGTACACTTAAATACTGAATTGCAATAAAAATTTTAAGAAACAGAGGTAGAAGCTCTTCTCTAATTTAGAAGAGCTATATATTGCCACTTACATCTAATAAAAGAGGCCAAGTATTGGGAAGAAAAAGGTCAAATGCCCCTACTGTATTTCACATAGTACCATGTTTCTCTCCTTCATGGAAATTACCCACACTTATACTACATTTATATGCGTGCCAGTTTGGTCAATGTCTATCTCTCATAGCAGATGCATTGTCATGATGATGGAACTAAGTTTTTGCTACTACTGTGTGTCCAGTGCCTAATGAAGCATCTGCACAAAGTAGTATACATGTGTGATTTCCAGACTTACACACACACACACACACACAGTATTCACCTCCACCCCCTCAATAAACAAAAGAGTAGGAAATTTGAGGGAGAAGGTAAGATTAAACTGTGAGGTACAGGGCTTCCGTGGTGGTGCAGTGGATAAGAAACTGCCTGTCCATGCAGGCAATACATGTTTGGTAACTGGTCCAGGAAGATTCCACTTGCCACAAAACAAGTGAGCCTGTGCACCACAGTTACTGAGCCTGCACTCTAGAACCAAGGAGCCACAGCTACGGAGCCCACGTGCTACAACTACTGAAGCCTGCACACTCTAGAGCCTTTGTCCTATAACAAGAGAGGACACCATGATAAGCACACACACCACAACTACAGACTAGCCTCATGTTGACATGTCCACTCATGTCAACTAGAGAATGCCCACACAGCAATGAAGATCTAGCACAGCCAAAAATAAAGATAAATAAATGAATAAAAATTAAAAATATTGTCAGGTACATACTTTTGGGTTACTAGTTTGGAAATATACAATAATTATTGGAAATATGAGTCTGGAGTTAGACTGGACATATACTTTGGGAATTATCATTGAAGGTGGTAGTTTCAGTCATGCAAATATTTCAAGTCATCCAAGGAAAAGATGTAAAAGACCAAAGGTTGATGGTATGAGAGTATTTCAGTTTGGAAGATAAATTATTTGGTCTTCCTATCTCTAAGAAATTGTTAGAGACAAAAGAGGAAACTCAAGACAGAGTAAACATAAGGGAAGAGAAAAGAAAAGAAACTGTTAGGATATATTACAAAATACCAATTATTGGAGACAACAGGAGTAAGATGAGAGCTGAAAAGATGCCCTTGGATCTAGCAATTATATAAGATATACAATTATATAAGATACTGCAAGTAGAGTAAACAAGAAAAAGTAGAAATGAGGAAGCAAGTGGGGATGATAAGCAGTGAAATTTGTGGGGAGAGAAAAAGACATTCACTAATATTCTTTTCTTTGGTGCTTGGATTTAAGATCTATTTGACAAGAAAAGGGGGAAATACAAGTGGGAAAGATCTCTCTAGGAAAGTCATAAACATCTGGAATAAATGCAGTAATGAATAAGCATGGAGGATAAGTAAGGCATCGGCAAAGGAATTCTCACCCATCATTGTGAATTCTTACAATAATAAATAAATAAAATCAATAATGGAAGCCCATTATTCTGTTGCAGAGTGTTAGTAATTTTTCCTTTTTAGAGACATTATGAATGACTTTTGTTCATGTATCATAATTCCCATATGCATTAATTCTAGGATATATACAGTCAGAAACAGAATTGCTGGTTGCTGGCTGTGAATATCTTCAACAAATTCCCAATTGGTTAAGCCAATTTAAAAGTCTATCAAGAGAAAACAGTAACAATTTGTCTTACTTCACAACTTAGCTCTGCCTAGTATTTTCAGTAATATTTTTTTCAAATGTGATCGACAGTAAAAATACCTTAAAGTGGCTTTCTTCTTCCCTCATTGTTAATAAGAGTAAACACTTTTTCATATGTTTACCAGCTATTTAGATGTTCTCTTTTGTAAAGTTCCTGTTCAATCTTTCACCTAATTTTCCCCTTATTGAGTCATTCTTTTTATTTAATTATTACATTTCTGTATCTATTCTGGATAGCAAGTCTTTTATCAGTTTTATATGGTATAAATATCTATTCCTACTATGCAGCTTGCCTCCCAATTTCACCATGTATTCTGATGAACAGAATATTTTAATTTTTATTAAATTTTACTGATAGATAGTTAGCTATTAGATAGTTAGAAAACAAATCAACATTTTCCTTTATAGTTGGTGGGTTTTGTATCTTAAAAGGAAAACTTCCCGAGTGACCTCAGTAGAAAGGTGGAGTAGATAACGGCAACAGCCCATCCCTCACTAAAGAAGGAAATAAACTAACAAAAACTGTCAGAATCAACTTTATCAGAAATTGATAAACTAATCAAGTTTACAGCAGCCAAGTGAATGCTTAATGCACAAAACTCCCAAACGACCCCCCACTACACAGCTCAGTGATGGCTGTGAAGATGACAGAGTCCACAACTTTGGTGAAGGTTCTGGGTACTGAAGGGGAAACAAACCTTGTTCTCAAGAATGAGGGCTGTTTGTTTCAACATTTCTGGTGGCTCACTGAAGGATATTCTCAAAGACCTGCCTTTATTTCCCCTATTTTGGAACTCCCAAATGGCTCAGGCAGCTACTGGAGGCATTGTTGATGTTGTTCAGTTACTCAGTCATGTCCAACTCTTTGCGACCCCATGGACTGCAGCACACCAGTCTTCCCTGGCCATCACCATCTCCAGGAGCTTGCTTAAATTCATGTTCATTGAGTTGGTGACGCCATCCAATCATCTTGTCCTCTCTTGTCCCCTCCTCCTCCTGCCTTCAATCTTTCCCAGTATCAAGGTCTTCTCTAATGAGTTGGCTCTTTGCATCAGGTGGCCAAAGTATTGGAGCTTCATCTTCAGTCCTTCCAATGAATATTCAGGACTGATTTCCCTTAGGATTGACTGGTTTAATCTCCTGGCAGTCCAAGGGTCTCAAGAGTCTTCTCCAACACCACAGTTCCTAAGCAACAATTCTTCGACGCTCAGTCTTCTTTATGATCCAACTCTCACATTTATTCATGACTACTGGAAAAATCATAGCTTTGATTAGATGGAACATTGTTGG